GGCTGTCAATGATCCTGCACTGGCTAAAGCTATAGTTCTCAGCATTTTCCTCATCATTTCTATCATCGTTTCCAACTTGACAACCCTTGCGCTAGGTCGGTACCTCGTCAAAACACGAATGACACAACTTGTGAGCACTCCAACCAATAAAGAGACATCTACCGACGGCATAAATCTAGCAGAACACGGGCGTAACGCTGATTGCAGCCTTCATCAACAAACACAAAATATCTCCTATAAAATACAAAGTTATTTAAAAAGATTTTTTTCAAGAGATTTCAAATATTCCCGTTCATGTTCAATCGCTTTTGGGTTCAAAAAAGAGAATTCTTTTACTACTATCGTGCCTCTTGTGTCTCTTCACGTCAGGTTCGGTTATGTCATTTAGATCGTTTTACGGAAATTTCTTGGCTCAAGATGTTTACCACGGAGACTGGACGCCCCTGCAAACAGTGAGGCAAAGGAGAAGTTTGAGAAAGCCATGAAAACGGTGTACTTGGGTGGTTTTCTAGCTCAGTCCATGTGTTTGCTGTATACACTTTTTCATGAGAAAATCCGAAATGTCATTGGTGAGTTAAGTTTTTATGACATATTATCATTTATTTATAGAACGAATTTTTTTATTTTATATAGTTCAGACTTTCGATGGGTAAATAAATTCTCCAATACGATACTATTTGTGTTAAAAAAAGACTCTATCTTAATAAAAAAAAATATTTGTCAATCTCTACGTTATCATGGATATGAAACAAGGTTATACTTCAATGAAAACACTAAGTTCAGATCCGATTTTGATACTTCAAAATAAGGAAAACAATCTGCAATGATATGCACTATGAGTTGAGATGAATTGAAGTTATAAATACTGCAAAAGTGGATTAAGGAAATATTTGATCATCCAAGAGCTGAAAGTACTTTAAGAGGACATCATGTTTTACAACTAAGGGGATGAAAAAAAACAATCGAAATGATTTAAGTTTAATAAACATGTTTTATAGGTTTGTACTACAAAAAAAAAGCTTACTTTCGTAAATAATAAAGACAGAAATGAATATAGTTTAATTAAGATCAGTCATTAGTTTAGAAATTAAATCTAATTGTAGTACTTATTGTTGTTTGAAACTTTTTAATTTGATATATTGTTACATAATTACTCACATTCATAAACATTTATCACAACTCATTTCACTGCATAATTTCAAAAAATAAACCCTTTGACAAAAACACAACCTATAAAATTATGCAGGAGATATCTAAGCAACTTTTACAACGTAGTACAGTCGCGAAATTGAAATTTAGATTCAAATGATGAAATTAAAATTGCTAAAATTGTGTGTGTCTCATCTTTCAACATTTTTCTATCTCTAATTAATTTAATAAATATGTGTATGGTACCTTAATAAATATCGATATGAATTTATTTTTGGAATTAATACTATTAAAGCTTCATTACATTCTGAGTTTACACCAGTTGTGTAAGCTGGAAACAAACTATTTACTAATTCCTAGTTTTTAAAGAGCCAGGATGAAATGCAATATTTAGCTGTCATTTATTGTCAATTTAAACAGAATATGATTATGTCTTCTTTCATCCTCTTAACACATTAGGTCCTTGTGTGGAATTGTTCATCGTGTCATTGGTGAACATTACCTTAGTCCTGTCACGACTTGTTCTGACCAAGGAGCTCTCTGTCTTCTACGTCACAGCTCTGATATGGGGGATTGAACAGGACCCTCATGTCTACCACGCCTTTTGCTCTGGCGACTGAGACTGTCCAGATGAAGGAATATTGCCAGGTACTTTGGGGTTCAATCATGGAAGGATTTATAAAATGCCGCGCGAAAGGCGTTTAGATATTTTCTGTATATAAAGTAGCAAAACGGGTGATATAGCTTTCAATCTATTGTGGTTGTTGATTTGTGCAATGTTGAAGTTTGAAAAATTTTAGTAGATTTGTGAAAATGTATAAAATAATTTTTTTTTTAAAACTTGTTTTTACTCACACTTCGTAAAAACATTATGTGCGAGTGAATGTTTAAAATATAGTGAACAATCCCACGATCATATTGTATCTAAAATAGCGTTATATCATGGTGAGTATTATCGGCCATCTACTATAAATTGTCATGGGCGCCCGCAGGTAGGGGCAAGGGGGCACTTCCCCCCCCCCTGGATTGATTGGATAAAAAAAATTTAGACAAAAATAGACAAAAATGTATTAAAGTAAAGAGAAAATAAAGAGAAAGTAACTAAGCTGATGTCCTGTCCGTTCGATCATCATACAAATAAAACTATATTAAAACAATACCAAAAAAAATTTTTCCCCCCCCCCCGGAAAGTTAATCGATTTTTGTGCCCCCCCCCCCCCAAGAAAGTTTTCTGCGGGCGCCCATGTAAATTGTATATATTTTATGTAATTTTCGGCACATTTCAATTGACTTCTGTGACGAAATATATTATCGTTAAATAACCAAGTTTCAACTATGTGCTAGGAGTTGGAGATTTAACGGCAAAATGGCCGGTTAAGAATTTGACGGACACATATAACAATTACCAATAAAATAATATAAACAAATTTCGTAAGTTTGTATGTATCAAACTGTCACTATGATTCTCAGTTATTCTGCAAGTTATAATTAAACACTTTACACAGTTATGTCTCTATTCCATAGACAATCCAACTACTTGATACGAATGAAGGGTCTCAGAAATTCCAAGGCGATGTTCGAGGAGTGGTTGACAGTTCCGTCTATGGCTCAACCATCTCTAAAGTGGCCATGACAATACCGATCATGTACTTGCTGATCTCGGCCATCATGGGCCCTATGCTTGAGGCCACGGGCAACGCAGCAAGTCCAATGTATTTTAGTGTTGCCTCTTCAGTACTGGCAGTTGGTGTTGTAATTTTAATTACTCGTGTACAGCGACGAGCAAACTGAATGAAATAATACTATATGTCCATAAAAAGAAAAGAATGCATTGTTCATTCTAAAATATCTTTTGTGTCATATTGATTGAAATGATAATCTGTTAGGATTTATTTTATTATTTTTGTTTTATAAAAAGGGGCGATATACAGCATTTCTTGTAGAAAATCCAGGGGCAAAACCAAGTTAAATATCTGTCACTTGTGACTTGTTGTTGGTCATTCCCATACGAATGACCATGGCAATATTCGACCTGAATAGTAGGCCTGAATTTAGAGAGAGTTTCCCAGTTCGCCCATTCTCGCCATTTCCTTTTTTTTATCGTATTGCAAGACTTGGTCAAGACGTCTATGCAGTAGGATAGTATGCAGTGAGTGACCAGCAGTGTTCCTTGTGTCTCACTGTGCTCTTTAAGTTTTCCACATTGAATGAGTTGTCGGAATTTTTACTCTGCCAATGACACACTACAGCAGTGGTTCTCAACCTTTCTCGTGCCGCGACCCTTTAATACCGTTTCTCGTGTCGTGGCGAACCTCCAGCCACACAATTAATTATTTTCGTTGCTTCTTCATAGCTGTAAGGGTATGTGTTTTCAGATGGTCTTAGGCGACCCCTGGGAAAAGGTCGCGCGACCCCAAAAGGGGTCGCGACCCACAGGTTGAGAACCGCTGCACTACAGGATCCCATCTCCGGGTTTAGAGTTTGCCTTCAATGCGAATGGTTGCCATCAAAGGTTAACGAGTTCCATCTGTCACGGCCATGGCATCAGAGGTGCAGAGTATGATGATGATGTTGACCGTAATGTTTAGTGAGCGAGTGTGAACTCTTGTCATGTCAAGGACGGGTGTGTGGATTTTTTGGGTTATAAAGGGAGAAAATGATCTGGAGCGTCAGAGAGTGAGCGAGAGACAGTGAACGAGAGACAGTGAGAGAGAAAATATTTTTGTTTGGTTCGCTGTGGGGCTTTTTGCCTGAGAACAATATTGGTCTGCTGGACGTAGCCACTTCAATGTGTGTTAATTGGATGTTTAGTGCAGTGAAATAAACGCATAGTGTACGACAATATATTTAGAGTTAATTGACCACCTGAGAGGCAAGATCCGAAACAAACTAGTCTGACATAAGGTTAGACGGCATAGTTGCCCTCCGGATATATAAGACACCAAATACTCGCCATTGGAATATATCAGACCAGGCGGAATATGTGACACCATCCACCCGTTTGTGCTGGTATTGTTTCTTTTTCTTGTCTCGGTTTCCGCGAGGTTTGAACTCACATCCACAATTTTGGCATGTACACATTTTCACCGTACTTTTGACTACTACTGATATTATAATGTATCGGGATTCATCTTTAAAGTAAATATTTCTTCCACTACGATAATAGTATGTCTAGAAACTATTGACTGGTTCCAAACAAGTTTCTTAACTTTCAATGAAAGTTGGCTGGTTTGAGATTGTTATTAAATGGTTTACTTGCTTCACAGATGTTGAACAACACTGAATTTGAAATGCTTCATCAAGTTTGAGATTAACATCTAAAGTTGTAAAAAGCTTCAAGTTTATGACCCAGATTGATAATTTGTTGAATACCTCTTATTACATCACTTAAGAACCTGTCATTACATCACTTGTGAACCTATCATTACATAACTTATGAACCTCTCATTACATCACTTATGAACCTCTCATTACATCACTTATGTTTTTTCAAAGTTGTCCGCTCAAAACACAAAGGGCAGGGGCACAACTGGTTGGGGAAGTTATGATGACAAAAACATTACTAAAGTTATCCTCCCGATTAATTTTTTTTTTTTTTAAATTGCGCAGCGATCTAACATTTTTCCTGTCTTTCAAAGGGTAGGAGGGTGGAGTCCCACAGCAACCCAGACAGTAGAGGTACATTGGAGACCACTGTGGTTCATACTGACCTCCCTTTAATGGCTACCACTCACTCCTTCAACACCTACCCTCCCCCCTTTTTTTTTGTGTGCTCTTTCCTCAATTTCTGAACATTACCACAAACGGAGGAAGTCATATTACAAAATTAAAGAATAACGGAACAACTTAAATATTGTACAAAATATAATATTTTAATTTGTCCTAACACAATTAGAATAAAAAATAAACTAGAAAAAAATATTTACAATGTATAAATGTAAACTTTACAATAAGTTTAAAAATATTTGAGGTGGTGGCCATTACATTGATATTTGTTATTATAAAGTCAAAAGAAACAGATCATTTTAAGTATTATAAATAACTCAAATCAATTCTATTTACATTTTGCTAGAGCTGTATGACATTTTTAAGAACAATCACCAAAAACTGTCATCTTAGAAAAGTATTCATTTTGTATCATATTTCAAATCTATTGTGTTTGAAATAAATTGATAAGTTAAAGTAGGATACTTACTGAAGATTAAACTTTGCTGGCAAGAGAGCACTTTCTTTTTATTAAAGATAAATCAAAAAATGATTGTAAAAAAAAAAATTTAAAAAAAAGACAATGAAGCATACTGTCTTCCTGCAAAGAAATTATAATTTATGCTTAAAAGGTTTCTTTTTATGTCATAATCTGTAATGATAATTAAAATCAGTTGTACAGTTTTCTAATAATATCACCATCGCTCTTACATAGTCATTTATTGACATACTTAAACTATAAATTACTTTTATACTTATGAATTTGTTTTCACTGAATCTCAGCATACTGGAATATGTGAATATTAGTGGGGTTGCATGATATGAAATATATGTAGCACATGCCCCCTGGTGCCTCTAACTTTTAACTATGGCACATTAATATGACAAAGCCTTGTAGTCACAACCAAATTTATTGCTTGATAAATCACAATCAAAACATGACTGCATCACCTTTAGAATATTGTAGAATCAATTGATATCAAATTTTAACAATTATTTATTTTATTTATCAACATCACAAACAAGAAACAAGACAAAATAAAATGCTCATGAAAACAAAATATAACACAACTTCTAAAGCCCTAACCACCCTATGAAGTAATTGAGCACAATCAAAATATGAGCAAGTGGCAGCACTGGTAATAATTCGCTTTTCTAATAGTTCACACCAAATGAAAACTTGTGAAATATTGGCAGCTTTACTCTGAACATCACAGACTAAACCCATGAGCTAGGCACAGTCCCCAGACTTTTGGCCAACCAAGCCAGAAGCAGTGGTAAACAAGTTGATGGGTGAATTGCCATCAGTCAACAAGACACTTTGCAGACCGAGACTTTTTAGAAGTCGCACCTGAAACAGTAGACATGAACATTTTGAAATGATGTGTCTAGTGAAAAAATGACAGAAATTAAATTGATAGGTAGTGCTTAAATTGTGCAGGTCATTCACATGCCAGGTGTTTATGGGGATATAATTATAAATCCCCACCCCCCCGCTATTTGGACCCGGGTCCCATTAGACTAGAGCTATTCAGATGTCATTTGTGGTAGTTTATTTTTAGTTAAACTGAAGAAGTAAGTTTACAAACATATAGCCCATTCAATTATCTTTCATTTGATACCAAATTTTGTCTTGCAACCTAACAATAATATATTTTTTTTAAATTTGAATCCCAACCTCTCACTTCTCTGACCCGGGTCTGAATAGCCACTTCAAATTTAAAAACCAAACAGGAAAAGGACATTTCAGCTATATAAAATTGTGAATTTGGTTGATACCATATGCAGTCAACTTAAACAAATTTTGATATTAATTAACTTGAAAGCTTTATCCTAGTCCAACACTCTTATAATTAAGCAATTAATTATATTAAATAATGAGATTTTATTAGGTAAATGACAGATAACATCTATAGACAAGCAATTGAAAGTCAGAGATGAGCCAGCTAAGGAAAAAGACAGACTAAGGAAAAGTAAAATAAAGAATGAAATAGGCTGACCTGATTATCTGGGCCAGCATTTGCCAAAGCTGCCAAAGTGTCTGCTCCCAAAGTTGTGACCATTTCTTTAAATTTATTCACCTAGAGTTGAACAAAAAATAAATATTAATATTTTACACCATGCCGTTTAATACACTGACATTGTAGTAATTACATCTGGGAATTTGACCTTAACTGTAAAACTCCTTTATTAAGGGTGAAATCTGCTCTCTTACCTTTTGATCTGATGAAAATTAAGGAGTTTTTATTTACAGGATTATTATATAGATAGGGGAGATGCTCACTTATCCTATGCAATACAGCATTCATTAAACTAACTGTGGTGCATGTAGTTTCATTATTCTGTAAAGTCTAGCTGCTGTTGTTGATTTAGTCACAATTAAGTTACACATTAGTTTACTGACCTCAATAGACGCTAATGATTTCTCCTTGCTGACTGTAATGAAATTCTGCTTTTTCTGATAATCTAGTTCATGTGAGCGAAACTGTCAATAAGTGATGGAAACAGATTTATGAAATCATTTCAGTTTATTATTTCATTCACATATGAAAATAAACCTATAGATCTATATGATAAATGCATATTATGTAATTGACATGTTGGTTTAGTTAAATTGGGGTTTAGCGCAGAAATTTAAATAAAACCAGTTGTAACTCTACCCTATTGTAACTTACAATAAATAACATCAAACAGCACTACTTTGAGATTATTTTATTTAAGAAATAAACATTCCCCTCAATTGTAGTCTGTGGACCGGCACCTGTCCACGAACCTTATGCCTCCGGTCCACACAACATAAATATGTGTAAGTATATTAAAAAAAAATAATTAAGAAATCTGGCACCGTTCCCTGGTGCAATTTCAAAATGTGCCCACTGGTAACTCAAACTTAAAATATTTGGAAACACTGTTATATTGATGATGGGAACAAAAATTGCTAATGATCACTATAAAGCGCCAACCCCCTCCTCCTCGCCTCCCCCCCCCTCCCATATTAAAAATATCCAATGTTCCTATTACTACTGGTATATGCCTATCATAATATTTTATGGCAATGACTCACACACTTCAACCTAATGTTTGAAGGAAACTCAAACTAGCATTCCCAGTGTTAAAGTTATATAAAATATTGACCTTATTTTGTGTTGACAGAGATGCTTCATGCTCAATTTCAGCAGCTTCAGATTTCAAGCGTGCAGCTGTTGAGGAAATGTGTTTCAGATTATTAAAATGTTTGTGTTTCAGATTATTAAAATGTTACATTCTTTAAGAATTCAGAACTACATTAAGTAAACTTTTAAAGTTACCAATTTAAAAATGAAAATTTCTCTGTAATTTGTATTACCTATTATTATTTACCAACGATACAGTTTGTCCAATATTATTATAAATAATAAAAATCTACCAATTTTTTTTTGATAAATATGAATAGTATGAGCTGTTTGAATGATACTAGGAAGAAAAAGAATTCACATTATCATTATTTGCATTTGTTAGTTATAAAATCCTTTAATAATGTTTTAAACCAATAATTTATTTTAAGTTTTGCTCTGTAAAATGAAAAAATGAACAATACGTAACAAAGTACTGAGAAAAACAGTATGCAAAGAAAACAATACTAAAGCTAGTGATAACAACAATATTAAATTTAATTATATGCCTACTATTAAATTTATCTAAAAATACTATATAAAACTGTGACAGAAAAACCTATCATTTTTAGCACATGAAAGTGAAAAGGTACCCTCCTCGAAAATTACAAATATTAATTTACATACACGCAAGAAGAGTACAGTATCGCAATTATATAATGTCTTGCGTATGTTAGGAAATATAGCCAAGTTCTCTCTCTCTGGGCAAGGAAAGCTGCTTTCAGGCATTAAATCAGAACCATCTTGTAAAGAAATTCTAGAATTAATGTCACCTGATGGCATTCTTTAGAGCAGATAGAAAGCATTTGAACAAAAAAAATCAGAATGGTTAAGGAATGACACAGCACTTTACTCTGTGACATCAAATTCCAAACACATAATAGGGAAAGGGGAGTGCTGGGCATTTGAGCCCAAAGTTGAAGTGTAATTGGGTCAAGATATAGGCTATAATATAAAAATAGTTTTAATTATGTGGAAATTGATAGATTTTAAAAGAGAAGAGAACATGGTGATACATTTAAAAAAAAAAAATTATTGCCTTAAATAGAGCTTTAAAAATTTCTACCACTTTTCTCATTTTTTATAAACAAAAATGGATAGTTTTTGGTACTAATTTCAAATTGTGTGAATGTTCTTTGGAATATTTTAACATCAAAATATATTATGTGTAATGTTTGTAATCACTAATTTAACATAAAAAATTGTCATGCCTTTAAATTTTGACTAGGCAGTGAAAAGTAATTTTTTTAAAATATTTTGTAGTTGATAAAAAAAAAATATTTATTTAAGCATATTTCCAGGGATAATTTATATTTCAATATTAAAATTATAACTCAAAAAAAAAAATTTTGCAGCTGAATATTTCTGATACTTCAGTTTCCATCTCTGCCCCATCTTACACTCAATATGACTGTGAGATTCAATGATAAGTCGTTCTGCCTGGGCCTGAGCTTCGGCCTTGGCCTGTCCAGTCGACTCTACAGCAGCTGCAAGAGCCCGTAGCTCATACAGCTGAGATCTTGCCCTTTCAGATTCCTTCTCAGTCTGTAAAATCTGACGTTCTAGTTGACCTTTGGCCATCTGCTCTTCTCTCTTTGCCTCATGGGATGCTGCTGCTTCAATGGATCTGTTTAACAGTGAACATTTCATTTTCAGCTACAAACAGTTGTAATTATTAATATCATTGGTCATTAAGTTGGGATACCAATTAACAGCTACAATAGTATTGATTTTTTCGTATTATAAATAGTAGCTTCAAAGAACAGCATAAAATATTTGCACTGCTTCAACCAACTTACTTTGTGGAAATCTCAATGGCCCACTGAACAGATTTACAGGAGCTGTAAATGCACTACTTCAACCAACTTACTTTGTGGAAATCTCAATGGCCCACTGAACAGATTTACAGGAGCTGTAAATGCACTACTTCAACCAACTTACTTTGTGGAAATCTCAATGGCCAACTAACAGATTTATTGGAGCTGTAAATGCACTACTTCCACCAACTTACTTTGTGGAAATCTCAATGGTCAAATGAACAGATTTACTGGAGCTGTAAATGCACTACTTCCACCAACTTACTTTGTGGAAATCTCAATAGCCAACTGAACAGATTTACTGAGGCTGTCTCTCATCTTTACATCCACTGGTTCTATGCTCTGGATATCAATGCTGCTAATTACCTGTATATTGAGATATAATTTATCAAGTGATTACATACAAAGAAAAGGCTACTGATATCTTACACAAACACAATGGTTTGACTTTTTTAAGAAGCATTATGCACTAACATTAAGTCACCATTTTTGAGTATGAAATATATTTCAAATTAATAGTGTAGGTATGAAAATGTTGATTCTTCAAATGTAATCAGTCCCTTAAAACAGTCCTAGATACACTGGAACTCCCAAAATAGTAAAATATAGTCTCAGAATTGTAACATACAGTATTGTAATAGTAAATAAATAAACATATAGTGCATCGCAAATCAAATTAAGATAACTAATCAAAGTGGGTGCCCGTCATTTGCCATTGTAATAAACAAAGATGTTGTCATGGGGTGGGGGGGGGAAGGTTTGTGGAGGAGGCTGAGCCCCTTCCCAAGATTCCGTTAATAAATTCAAAACGCAGAGATGCACTTTTGTGTATACCTGTATATAGATTGGCATCATGTGTATACCTGTATATAGATTTGCATCATTCTACATTTAATTCTAATGCTTGTGTAAAATTGGGTTTCAGTTACCTAGCTGTGTTTACACAAATTCTTTTCATTTTCAGTAGTTACTCAATAGTAAAACTGTTTTAGAATTTATTACTTATTTTAATCTAAATTTTTTATCCAGTCTAAAAAGGTGCGAGGAAGCTAAAAATGGTGCGTACCATCACCAAAAAAGTTGTAAGTATATTTCAAATGTGTATTTAAACCAAAAAATGAAAATAATCACTAAATGAATGACAAAATATGTTCATTTGTGATACATCTGGTGGGCCACTATATTTAATGTGGCGGGTCTCGAATTGCCCACCCCTGCATTAAGCCTTGGAGTTTTATTTTATTTTCCATCAACATTTGTAGTCTAATAATTACAGGAAGATGTATTGGGACAAGGAGGGCTGGGGTATTATACAGTTGCTTAGTGACTTCTAAAAATAAATTTCAAATGCTACTTACTATATCTTATAAAATATGTCAAAAACTAAAGCAGTGGTGCAGTTGAAAATGCATTTTCTTTTTAATCCATAATTTTCTCTATTTTTGCAATTGATGCCTTTCAGCCGAAGAACAAAATAATTAAGTGAAAAAAATTAGGTCATACAGTACCAACGCCAACAAAAGCAAATTTTTACTAAATTTGTCACTATGGCAAATGGTTTAATATTACTGTTGATGTATCTAGCCAGTTCATTATGGAAAAGCAAAGCAATAGTATGACGTTTATTACCAAACGTAATGGCGTCATATTATAGCCCTTAAAAATAATTAAACCTTTCCCCTTAGCCATCCCATGCACGCCTGCTACCAAGTCAAAAGCCACCCTCTTTCCTCCTGCGTAGGTAAAATAATTATGGATGGTCCCCAGCCAATCATATTTCTCTGTCTTTTCACCATCTGCTATAGAGAAAGAAGCTAAAACTAACAACCGAGAAGTTGTTTTATTTGTTATTGATATTTTTTTTAAATCTTAAAAACCAACTGAATATAATTTTTTAACCTGGTCTCATAAAATTGTCGGTCTGACAGATCTCGGTGTACAATTGTAAAAGACATCTCAGAATGGTACATTGTATATGAAAAAAGTAAGATAAACAGGTCTGCTTAAAATAACCAATGATTTAATTTCTCAAATCTTGAGCCACAAGATGCAATTAAACTCCTAACTTTAAATAGCAAAATTTAAAATTGTTTAAATACAATAAGTTTTCAGTACAGTTTAACATGTCTTTTTAGTGAGGGTACCACATTTTCTATTTAAAAACTTTTCTGGAAATTAATAGAATTTTCAGGAAACCTTGTTGAAGGATAGTTTTACACCTAAGTGTTGAAGAATAGTTTGACATCTAAGTGTTGGAGAACAGTTTGATACCTAAGTGTTGACGAATATATTGATACGTAAGTGTTGAAGAACAGCTTGACATCTAAGTGTTGGAGAACAGTTTGATACCTATGTGTTGACGAATATATTGACACCTAAGTGTTGAAGAATAGTTTGACACCTAAGTGTTGAAGAATAGATTGACACGAAAGTGTCAAAAACAGTTTGCCCAAGTTCAAATTATTTCATAAAATTTATTTTTCTTAAGACTTTTAGAAAATTAAATTAAAATTTAATTTAGTTTCTCACTTTAAAAATTTTTTTCCATTGTGTCCAAATATCTGACAAATGAATAAAAATTGAGAATTAAAAGTTAACAACTATCTGTCTCTTACCAAGTTGTTGACATCAAATTTAAGAATGGTTCTAGGATCTCCCAATAATGCGTCATTACCAAACACAGCAGACTGTATTATCTGGGCAGAATACCGGTGAAATGAATCAAAGGTAGTGAGGGCAACCCTGGCACGAATTCTACTACCTGTAGGATTTCATTTGACATTTCCAGCAATGGAAGTTAATTTTTGGAATGAGAATATAGCATTAAAATAAAACTGTTCTTTAAATAATTATTTCATGCGATAAAATTTAAATTTGAAATTTTTTTCATTATTTTACATCTGCTCATAAAGATTTTGGCCAAAATCTTTCATTTCTTTGTTTTGTCAACAGTAAACCTTGATCCAGCTCAGTATATTGTTTAATGCACATTACTCAGTGTAAGTCTTCATTTTAACTAAAAAAAATCATTTTAAACTTATGCAGCAGTATTGCACATACCAATCTGGCGACAAGCGAAGCCTATAAAATCTGGCACAGAAAATATTTTTTGAGCACTAAGTTCATCATCTTTATCTACCTGAAAAAAATTATTTTAAGCAGTGAGTTCAGAATTATAAAGATAAAAGTTAAAAGAAAAATCTGGCTATGTTTCTGATATAATTAATGAAATAATGTTAATCACATAATTTGTCATTATTCATTAGATGCTAATTTATTAATTCTAATCAACATATCTGTGAATTGAATTCTGAAAAAAAAGTCTATAAATATAATTGTTGTATGATCTTAAATTAACAGGAACTGTTCCATGACTTACTTCAAAATGGTTGTTAAAAGCCAACTGAAGTCGAAGCCTTGCATGATCAGAAGTTTCAACCTTTATTGGTAGTGAAAGAAACTCAGAAATTAAAGAAGAAGCATTGAGAAAAACTATGGAGGCCAAACTGCACCTAATTAAGCCTTCTACAGATCATATTTATTATTTAATTAACAATATTTTCTTTCTTATGTCTTTTTTCCCTGTCTAGGTCATAGGCATAGGCCATCCACAGGAATTTTCCATTCATCACGGTTGTGGGCTAATAATATTTTGAATACTGCATTAGTTTTAAGCAGCTCCTTAACAAGTGCAATTCACATCATTCACTACGAATGAACCAGTATGTTTGAATCATAGTGTAAAAATTTGCAGATGCTCGTACTTTAATAATTTCAGGTCAAATATTATAAGTAAACATACCTCAATTATTTCAGATATAAAATCAGGTCCTAGCATTAAGCAAAGGGATTTTAACGCACCTTCTTTCTTTGGCTTACCAGCTGAAAACAAAAAAAACAAGCTTAGACTTGTATTTATAAATAATCACAAAATTGTTGTGCTTGGACATAATTTAACTTACTCAACTTCTAAAAGCTTTATTTCAAAATTTTTATTTGAAGCTCAGGGTATGCTAAGTTTCAGATTTTACATCTATTAAATGATTAAACTAAGCAATGACACCCATATTTCACAGAATTTAGTTTCAATGTGAAATATTAGTATTGTGGAATTAGCACATGTTTCATCTAAATCAACTAAAGTGTTTATAACCAACAAAATAATTTGTCACTCTACAGTAAACTATTCCCCACTTACCACTAAGACCAAGTACATTGAAATTCTCATGAGGGCCCAATACAACCAAATCTGGACCAAAAATGACACGTGCTGTTTTCTTAATGTAGTCGTAGACTTGCACAGCTGTGTTGCTGGGGCATCGGTAGGTAACTACTCTTGTTTTATCACGGCCCTGTTGACAGAAAATAACTTCTAAAGTAAAATATTTTATTTTCTTAATGAGAGGCACACACAAATCTCTGTACAAAAAATGTTTTTTTGGTGATGATTAATTTGCTGTAGAAACCATTTGAGTCAAATTTCCCCACCAAATTCTGGCAAATAGTTTTATGGAAATAGTTTTCTATCAACATACCATTATCTCTAACACATTTTATAATCTCTAAATGACCAAAAGTAATATGGTCGGACCTGGTGATACCATGATGACCATTTTAGTTGTAAAAATGGAATGTCAACATACTGTAAAAATAATAAAAGATGTCAAATTTACCATGGCAATAGATGGGTCTATCGACTGTTCATAGTAGGCAAGCTTCCTTATATCTCCAGAACCTAAGCCACCACCATGGCTTGAAAAAAAAACATTTTATAAAATTGAAATCATCTATGGACTAGTTATCCCTAATAAAACAATATTAACATTTGGAAAATATGTTTTTCAATTGGTTAAAAAATAGTTTCTGTTATTTAGCATTGTAATGTTTAACTGTGACTATAACAAATTAATTTTTTTAATGGTTTAAATATTAGAGGGTAATTAGTTACTAGCAGCAGACTGGAGTTTTTTTTTATTTCTTGAGAAAACAAATTGATAAATGTTAATTCAGTTGTTGATCTTATTTGTTACATTAGGTGAGACTTTAATTAAATTTATAGAAACAATTTAATAGAAACAATCTTAATAGAAAAAAATCTTAATAGAAACAATTCTACCCATCATTTAAAAAACTGAATTATAACCAAAACCAAAAAAAACAAAACATGATCGACATTTTTGTGATACTTTTCAAATTATATTCAGAAGATAATGATTCTTACCTCAGTAGCTGCTCTGTTTCTTCACCAAGTTCTTTCTTCCACAATTCCTCAGTGGCAGTGAGCATGTAGGCACATGGACCCATGACGAGTCGGACCTGTGAAAAAAGGTAACCAACATTCATAAAAATACTAAAGTTATATTTGGAAATGACAGCTCCTTACAACTGTCCATTTAAAAGTGTTGAATTAAAACTTGCTCCATTACATACTTTTCCTGAATGCTTGTCTTGAACATAAACTCCTTCGTTTTTGCTCAAGGGAATTGTTTTCCTAAAAAGTACATTTTAAAAGCATATTAATACATTAGTATGGTTCATATACTATATACTTATGAAATTGGAGTAAGTGTACTTATCAAATTAAGATGATACAGAAAAAAATTTTCTATTCAATTGTTGATGACAAAACTCATTAAGAAACTCATGAGAAAGCTCTGAAAGTCAGAGACATTCCCAGTCTCCATTGCATGACATAATGTGTAATAAACAACACCACTTATTAAAAAGATGTGCAAAAGAAGGGTAAGCAATGCTTCTTTAACAGCCAGCAACATCAAAGCTATCCTACTAATTCACCTTTGTTGAATAATTTTCACATTTATTGAAGGGATGTAATTCTGTGGGCCTTTGATCAGCCAAATATCTCCTGTCTTTCTTGTCAAAGTTTTTTCTGATGACAGAATGGGGTTCTCAAATCGATTAATAAAAACAAAAACATTCTTTCCTATTTGATTTAATAATGATTGAACTGTTTTATAGCAAGTGGATTAAAGCTTTTTCATTCAATCAAAAGTGCTAGATAAAATTTATTGTGTTAAACAGAAGGGGCACTAAACATTTTTTTTTAAAAAGTATAATGTATTTATTTTTTTCAGCATTACAAACAGGTTTTATATACGAAACTTAATTTATGCCTTCAGCTATTGAGCTGATTGATTATTTTATAAAACATTAAATTATTAACATTTATTTTTTCACCCACTTTCGTCAACTTTTTCAACAAAGGTGTCCAATGCCTGTAAGAGAACCGATTCATTCTCAGAGAGAACACAAGCATTCTGGATAGAGCCATGTTCCAGAGACTCTCCTTTATTTACACAAGAACAAGATCAGGTTATTTTAGCAGGCTAACATATTTTCAAAGAGCAAAAAAAAATTAGTTTTAACATTTTTAGAACAGGAATTATGATTGGTACTAAATGGAACAAGATTTAAATGCTGTTTTCATGAAACATGTTTTATAAAAATCTTCACCATTTACCAAATAAATAATTTCAGTTTAAAAATAACTAATTATAAGAGGGTTGGACTGTGTTAAAGCTATAAAGTAGATTAATGAGACACAAACAATTGAGTAAATAAAACTAAATATCTTCAGCTTTAAAGATGATTTTACAAAATACAAATGTTAAAGTTTTTGTCTGGTTTCACCCATTCTTATTCTTTCTATTTTTTTAGGTAGGTTACATGTAACTATATTTATGTAAATTTAATTTATATTTAAATGTTTTGTTTTTTGTACTGATGAAGGCATTTGCTGAAAGATCTACATATGTATTTTGTAAAATCGTCATTAAAGCTGAAGATATATTGTTTTATTTACACAAATTGTTTGTGTCTATGTGTCTAATTAATCAGATAAAAAAAAATTGTTTTAATTTAGCCATTTTGAAGGTAATGAACAGACTTCTTTTCATCGTCAAAGATAATATAAAGAAAACTAGAGCTGAAATTACCAGGCTGGAGGAAGAAACTGCAAAGTCCTTGTCGTAGAACTTTTTGTCCCAATTGTGGTTTACCCTCTTTATCGGCTGGGTTTAGAATAACTGCATATTGACCTCTTTTAACAACTGTCTTAGTTACCACCTGGACAACTTCCTGGAAATGTAGGAGGTAATTTGATTTCTGATAAATACTTTATCTATTTACATACAGAAATTCACGACAAAGTCATTTATTGCAATACTATTTTAGGGATATCTCTTATTGTTATATTGACATCTCAGAGGATGTTTTAAAAAATGTCCCTCTCAAGAGTCTATGCATCTATAAACTTCCAATAACCAGTAAAATAAACTGATGGAAATAAAGCGCCGTAAATTTTATAAAATTCTTCCTTAAAAAACACAGAATGAATTAGCTAATGAACCAAGTCTTGATACCAAATAAGAGCAATCCATATGTTGGAATAAAACAGTTTTTTTCTATTGGTTTTCTTTGCATAATTATTGTTGTGAAGCATTCACGTTTCTAAAACCACATTATGTGAAAACAGTATCAATTTGCTTTTGTTTTTAAAAAGAGAGCCAATGCTTTATTTCTACTAATACTCTAATAAAAAATTATAAATCAAAATAATATGGCTAATTAAAAGTTAATTTTACTGATATGATTTGCTCAAAGTAATAACTTACCATGCCAACTTGCGGGGAATATTCGGTAGAGATATCACTGGTAAGAAGCCACTCTTCTCCAGCATGTCTAATGAGATATAATTTAAGATTTTAATTTAATTTTCTTGATCAAAGGGAAAAGTAAATTAGTGCATTATATTTTTCAAGTAAAAAATTATATTTAGCTTTTTAATAAACTGTGAGAATAAAGAGAGCAGATGACATTGATGGAAGATGACCTCTAACTTTGGTGGTTTAGATTTTGAATTTAGACTTTTCATCCTCACAATAAAAACTACCACCCAAGCAGTTGTTGGCAGATGGTACGCTTCAGTTGCACGTGAACCTGCTATCAGACAGCTGGGGCGCTTCAGTTGCACATGAACCTGCTACCAGACAGCTGGGGCGCTTCAGTGGCATGTGAACCTGCTACCAGACAGCTGGGGCGCTCTAGTTGCATGTGAACCTGCTACCAGACAGCTGCCAAAATTGTTAAATAAAGAGCTTTTCTGTGACATAAACATAATTTGAAACAAATATTTCTAGTCTATTAAAAAAACTTCAAGTGTTTTGGGAGAAATAAATTTACAAGTAGAATACTGTAGAATGTCAAGGTACAGTAAGGCAAGGTACGCTAAAGGCAAGGTACAGACTAATTCCTACCTTGCAGGTAATAATGCGCCGACTAATGCTTACTTGCAAGGAACGCTGAAGGTGCCGACTAATTCTTACCTGCAAGGTACTCTGAATGTGCCGACTAATTCTTACCAGCAAGGTACTCTAAATTTGCCAAGTTATTCTTACCTGCAAGGTACACTGAAGGTGCCGACTAATTCTTACCTTATCTGACCTTCAAGATCAGTGAGTGTCTGCGTGGCCCTAAGGTGTAATGCAACATCTGATGTTAGTGTAATAACATCTTCAACAGATACAACCTGTGATGACATGGTTAAAGAGCCCAGTCAATTTGATTTATTACATTTTAAATTGATGTGATTTTTTTTTTTAAATTTAAACAAACTTAAATAAAGAGTAAATAAAAACTAAATCTAACAGAATTTGTTTTGTTTTTTTGGAAATGTTTCAGTTTCAGCTCCATCAGTTTCATTCAGTACAGACAGCAACTTTGATAACCCAACAAAGGAGTGGTGGACAATGGCTATCTAAGAGTGGTAGACGTATGGCTATCTAAGAGTGGTAGACGTATGACCACCTAAGCTTCCTTGTTATGGGAGTTGGTCTGCATTTGAACCTTGCAGAGGTTGTGTAGCAGGTTGAGTAGCAGTGTTGGGGAAAATAATATCACTCTTGTTTAGAGGCAGTGACTGCACAGATGTACAAGGCACCGCCGCATCTGTAGCATTCATGGACACTTTTTGCTTAAATGTGTCTGCATGGGCATCTTCACAAAAGTACTCCTGCTCTTGTTGTACTGTTCATCCCTGTTTCAACAGTGATCCATCAGGTGTGACTGAAGATCCAGTTATGGATCTGGATCCACAGGAGCAGGCTACCCCACCTCTCATTAATAAACCAGGTCTTAATCTTCCTCAAGCAGGTGTCTATTCTAGTCTTTGTATTTTGTTTTACAATGATCCCTCTGTGCCTGACTTAGAATCTCAATTACTCTGTGTTCATACTTCTGCCCAGTCACCAAGTGAACAACATCAATCCCTAAGCACTTGGATCATGTGGATCACATCAACCCCTAAGCATCTGGATCAAGTGGACCACATCCACCTCTAAGCACTTGGATCATGTGAACCACATCAACCCCTAGGCACCTGGATCATGTGGACCACATCCACCCCTAAGCAACTGGATCATGTTGACCACATCAACCCCTAAGCACCTGGATCATGTGGACCACATCAACCTCTAAGCACCTGGATCATGTGGACCACATCAACCCCTAGGCACCTGGATCATGTGGACCACATCCACCCCTAAGCACCTGGATCATGTAGACCACATCAACCCCTAGGCACCTGGATCATGTGGACGACATCAACCCCTAAGCACCTGGATCATGTGGACCACATCAACCCCTAAGCACCTGGATCATGTGGACCACATCAACCCCTAAGCAACTGAATCATGTGATCATGTTGACCACATCAACCCCTAAGCACCTGGATCATGTGGACCACATCAACCCCTAAGCACCTGGATCATGTGGACCACATCAACCCCTAAGCACCTGGATCATGTGGACCACATCCACCCCTAAGCACCTGGATCATGTAGACCACATCAACCCCTAGGCACCTGGATCATGTTGACGACATCAACCCCTAAGCACCTGGATCATGTGGACCACATCAACCCCTAAGCACCTGGATCATGTGGACCACATCAAGCCCTAAGCAACTGGATCATGCGGACCACATCAACCTCTAAGCAACTGGATCATGTGGACCACATCAACCTCTAAGCAACTGGATCATGTGGACCACATCAACCCCTAAGCACCTGGATCATGTGGACCACATCCACCCCTAAGCACCTGGATTATGTGGACCACATCAACCCCTAGGCACCTGGATCATGTCGCCACATCAACCCCTAAGCATCTGGATCATGTGGACCACATCAACCTCTAAGCACCTGGATCATGTGGACCACATCAACCTCTAAGCAACTGGATCATGTGGACCACATCAACCCCTAGGCACCTGGATCATGTGGACCACATCAACCTCTAGGCACCAGGATCATGTGGACCACATCAACCCCTAAAGCCCCTGGATCTAGTGGACACTATCTCTCTCTTAGAGATCATGAAAGACATCTCACAGACACTGCTGACCCTGGACATGATGATCCTGTATGATTTCTAAAACAGCCCAAACCAACCCAACAAATATGTTCAGTTTCTGGAGACAGTCTGCAGAGTCTGTGACAGGGAATGGCCAGAGAGGGAATCCTATATTGCTGACTAAACCCAGGGATGACTGTTCTGCCTATTAGGAATGTTAAAACATATTGATTGTAAAAATCAAAGATCACTGTGGAGACATTGACGGTGTGCAGGTTCTGGTTGGAAAGTAAAGCCACTGACACACTATTATATAAAGCATGCCAGGATAATGATGACACAATGAATATAGTTATTTCTGGTTTTTTGTGCAACAATTTGTGATAAAGTTTGAGTGAAGCCAGGCGGTATTTCTATCAAATACCTGTACAAACATTTTTTTTTTTAAACTATATCAAGAGCGTTAACTGAAGGGACAAAAAAATTACTTGAATATTATAAAGTAATAAGATGAAGTAGTGATAAGCATTGAAATGATAGAAAATTAATTTCTTGAATATTATAAAGTAATAAGATGAAGTAGTGGTAAGCTATGCAATGAACAAAAAAAGATGATGATTGAACATAAATACTTTTATGGAATGGAAGGTTGATATCTTATCTGATACTGACCTCCTCAAATACACCAGGCAGATAAGCACCTGGTTCTTTCACAAGCCATTCCTCCCCGGTGACTCTAAACCTGTCAAGTTTTGGGATAAAAATTGAGTGATAATCATTCAAAGCAAAAAGTATAAAAGCTGAAAGAAAAAAAAGATGATCGTATATATGCATATTAAATAATAAATCATGTATCTGCTAACAACATTTGAAGGGTTTCTTTATTATTCTGTATATTTCTGTCTAATCGGTATAGAAGTGTCACATATTTATAAGACTCAATCTTTTATAAATAATTGGGGGGGGGGGGAATGGATGTGTTTAATAATAATAATCAATTTCATTTAAACAAACAAATTAAGTATTAAAATGTAAAAACTTTAACAAAACTAATTATATAATTCTATAAACTACCACAGCTGATCTGTAAACCAGTTTCTGTTAATTTTGATTTGAATTTATGGTCATGAGTTTTGTGTGTGCTCTGGTAGGTAACTATTGCTATTATATTTACATTTAGAATAAGTTCCTTTAAATGGAAAGAAAAATAGAGTACCATTGACCAACGGGGACATGAGGAGTTCAAGAAATGACATTCCATGATAAATTTATCTATGTTCAATCATTTGGGATGGTCAGTTTTGTCAGATGTCTCGTTGAAGGTTTATTTTAATCAAATGACCTTACAAATTATAATTATAAAGTTAATAAAGGAATGTCAGCATTTGATACAATCCCCGTTTGTTTGTTTTTTTCTTATTAATGGAGACATCCATCAACAACACCAAACCAAAGCTGTTGGTTGACTGTAACATATTGCCTATTGGCTTGAATTTAAAGGCATAATTCATAACTGACTTGTCCATATTGTCTGTGGTATCCTGGACGGCTCTGAGCTTCACCACCTGCCCACTCTTAATGACCTGAGGTTCAATGATCTTTACTATCCTCTGAAAACAGAAAAACACTGTTAGTAAAACAAGCTGTTCAAGAAAAATAAACTCTTCACAGAAAAGATAAAAAAAAATTATTTTAAATTTTTACACTAATCTTTATTAAACTGAAATCTGTGACCATCCATAAATACCACTTCTGGTCTGGGCTTGTAGGTGAGAGGTCCTTTTAGCTGCCACATGTCTCCAGCAAACCTCTGGATGTCATTGTCAAGATGATCCATCACAGCCTCGAGCCTAATGGCACAGTTTGCCTTCACCACAGGCAGTGGTTTGATAGCTGATGAATAGTCAGTCGAGCCATTCAAAAACTGTGGAGCGGCAGCTAAATACTCCCCAGGGTAAAGTGGAAAAGGCTCCTGAATAAAAATATTTCAACAACTTTTTAAAAAGTTTGCACAAGAGTTTAGTGTTTTGATAAATGGAGAGTCTGTCTGTGACATGGAATCGTCCCCAACTGTGACGCTGATAATTCAGACAGCTTTTTTATTTAAAACATGATTAGATTTTAAGCCCTCACGATTAGTTATCTTGAATAGGTACAACTTCAAACAGTGACTGTATTCAAAAGAGAGACATAAGGTAACTTCCTTGCAACTGGCACCAGCTTTTCTTCAAACTATAAGACCAATAGCGTCATTTAAAATTACAATGGCCAAATACTACACGGAGTATCATGCAATTAATAGACTTAATTTTATGACTTTGAAGATCATTAGCTATTTAGCATTTTTTTTAATGAAGAAAATATCTCTTACTTATCATCTATCCTTAGAATTAAAAGAACTTACAGCATGAAATTTGACTAACGTTTGCCCCAAGTCATGTTCAGACTTTTCACCTGGAGTGTACGACCTGAAAAATGAAATAAAATGAATAGTGAAAGATGTCAGAAGAATAGCTACATCAGTTATCTTATACTTATAGAATTTTGCTGCATTCATATCTAATTGTTCTCTGAATGAAGTATAGGTATTAATTTCTAAGGAGCACTAGTAGCAAAATAATATTTTACAAAGAGGAAACTACCGTATTTATTGGCGTATAGCACAAACTTTTTCTCCCCGAAAATAGGGGGTAAATCATGTGTGCGTGTTATACGCCGATATAATTTTTAGTTTTTTTTTCCTGAAATTTCCTTCTTAAATTGAGGTGTGTGTTATAGTTATACGCGGGGGCATGTTATACGCCAATACATACAGGAATTTCATTTTGTGGGGGGGAAAAACCATAAATAATCTTCCAATGATTTTAAAGAAGGGATGGCCAACACAAATGGTTTCACAGGCAACATGTCATTAACATCATAAATAAAATAAACGATGAACACAATAATTTATTTATTCTTAAGTCATATGGTTATCAGATGATAGCACACAGGTATAATCTTAAAATTTGGCTCTTTAAAATACTCTATGCTGTAAGGTTGTGGAAAAAAATTCAAAGTTGATCATATTCATGTTCGCCGTTTTTTTAATTCCATTTATTGAACAAATAACACAAAATTTCAAAACAAAAAGTGAAGAGTGAGTACTGCACCAAAGGACTTCAAGTTTTATATGATGTAAACCATTAAAAAGTACATTAAAATATCCTCTCAAAAATATATGCAATGTTAGTGGCATCATTCCTGCTAATAAAAACATAACAGATCAGAAGGTTTATTGATACAGATTGCATCAGCTGAAAGTTCAGGATAGTCATCTCATGGTAGAGTATCAGACTCATTTCGCATAACTTCTAATACAAACAAGATAGATCAGAAAGTTTATTGATACCCATTAGATCAGTTGAAAGTCCAACATAGTCACATCTTTTTAGAGCATCAGACACATTTGCAGAACTTCTAATATGAAATCATTAGCTTAATTTTTAAGCACAAACATATTTCCATTCAGCCTAGCACCATCACATGTCTATATATTATTATGTATATGACTTTATTTTTCCAATAGTCTTGAGATATCTTAAAAATATATACACGGAGCCATGACGTTGAACCAAATGATTTAGATGTCTCCACAACCTAGACCATGATGTCTGCATGCCACACATAGTAACATCTTGTTCATTTATTCTGCAAAAAATAAAATCACCTTTAAGCCATTCTGTATTGGCAGCAGGTCTGTAAAATGATAAAGCAACCACTTTATTCTGTCTTTCCCATTAACTTGAAGGTGTTAAATAATGAATACAGACTGTGAAAGAGTTTGCTCCCTTTACACTAGGAACTCTCTTTTTGAATATGGAAAATATATGGATGAGTCTGTTCAAGCCATGTGAATAAATAAATGGTGGAACAAGAGGTTTTTAGGCTTAAAAAAAAAAGACAGAACAATTAAAAGGAAGTTTCATCTAAATGCCTTCTTCAGCAGACAAGACAAAACAAGAAACAAAATTATTTGAAATTGAAAAACTTTAGTGTTCTAAGATCACAATGTAACTTTCTCAGTCTCTGTGTAGAAACAAAGTTGCACCATAAAAATGGAAGTTTGAATTTCATTATTGCCCAATTATCCACTAAATTTTGTGAACAAACCTAGTATGCAGTGCAAATTGTTGATTTAAAGGTGCCTGTGATTTCCTTGTTGAAAGAAATATTTGATTGATGGACTAGAATTTGAAGAAGCCCACAAAAGTCGTTAAAGTAAATTAGAGGATAGTTCAGGGGAGGGGGGCTGAGCCCAATCTCCAATAAAATTAGTTAAAAATGTCAAATTCAGGGATGGATTTTTGGCACATACCTTTATTTATATTTTCATCATTCAACACTTAACCGGAGAGTAACAGAAGAAATGCTTGTGAACATTTTGTTTTTCTTTACCTAGCAGTGTTTATATAAATCCTTACATTTTAGAAGTTAAACTAAAATCGCATACATAGTCACAAAAAGTGTTAAATATATATTTCAATTGTGTGTTTTTGACAAGACTGAATATAATCCTGAATGAAGATATAAGTTCATATAAGATATACAGTCAATGGGTTGAAAAATTTAAGGTGATGGGCCCACAGATCAGCCACCCTTTTAAAATCTGTGAGAAATATTTTTTTTTTTTAAATTATTATTATTTTTATTAACATAAAGAAAAGTGAGAAACATTAAGACAATGAACAGCTCTAAATCAAATGTTGGAACTAACTTTGTTCCATTTTCAGGTTATGTTATTAATAAATATAAATAATCTTTTTCAGCTTAAGACATCTAAACCTTGATGGTAAAAATTCACTGACTTTTTTCTAGTCTAGACTTTTTTCACCCCATCCCATATTGAAACAAATTAACAAAAAGCTTTCTCCATCACCAAATCAGCATTAAATAAAAAAAACGCCATTTCTTGAAACAAACTGTGTTCACAGTGGATAAAAATTTATGCACAGACGAGTTGAGGAGGTTAAAAATCAGTCATCTCTACAGCCCTGGTTTTTTTAAATGTACAATTGTACAAATAATTAATTATTTCATGCTCCAGATTCCACTCACCTAACAGGATCATTTATGACACAATAGGAGCCAGGAGGTACAACAATCATATTCAGGGGACCAGCTACTAGTGAATGGTTGCTCTTCAGTATCAATGTTTTTGGTCCCACCTCCAGATGAACAATATTTTTATTCTAAGAAAATAAGAGAAGATTAAATATTATTAAATATAGGCATATTGCATAAAAATGGTAAATGACTCAGCATTTAAATTTAAAAAAAAAAGCTCAAAGGTTTTCAGTATATTGCATTCTGGGCAGTAGGCCTACATTTGTAATAGAGTATTTGTGTTGTAGCATAGGCCATTTATTGACCTATGTGTGATTTGTCTTCCTTACTCTTGTGTTATGTATAGAAGGCATTCGATGCCATAAGTTCATCGTCATCTTTGGCACCCTCATTTCTTTCAATGTGGTACAATTCCAATAATATTTATTTCCAAATCATTTATCCCTAAATGGCAGTTAGTGTCTTTTAATTTTGTTCAAATTTCACTTTTCATTTTTTTGTTCAAGTCTGTGCAAATGTCTGCATTGATTTATTTCTAAAAATTGTATGGTAAGGACATTTTTATAGCCTTTTTTTTCAAATGCAGAATTTAATTTACAATCCAGATGAAATAATCCATGCCTCACACTGCTATGTCATCTATGGGATAATATAGTTTCTATAGCGTCTATAAGCTATATATTTTTTTTTCTAATGCCCTTATGGAAACCAGCTAACCAAAAATGATGTCATGCTATTTTGGCCTATTTTTTACCCCCACCCCATCCCAAATATCATCACAAATTTATAACACATATGACACTTTTCTCACACCTTGTCACAAATTAATAACCACCACCCCCACCCCCACCCCAGGATGCATGACGCATATTGTCATTTAAGGATGGCCCCAAAGACATTGTGCATTACTGTGACGCTATTAAGAGATTTGAGTTCACTTGATGATAAAAACTATTTTATACGCTTCAACTTTATCTTATGCAGAGGGGTGTTTCAACGAAACTGTCTGTCCCTTTTTCTGCCTCTTACTCTTACTATAGAGGTGCTTATGAAGGGAATGAAGTGCAAGACACATTAAGTTTTGTCCCCCTTCAGAAGGGCAGGGATGAGTTAACGTAGATTATATTTTTATATCCTGCAAAACCCATAAATTAAAAATTGTGAATTTTGTGCACTGGATTTACTTTTCAGTTTATACATATATCATTACACTGGTCCTCACACTTTGAAAGAATTGTGTGATGTTGATCATTTTACCAAGCGTTTCAATACACCTTGATTTGGTGCTTAGCCTTGTTCTTGTTGCCTTGTTACTATTGTAACTGTAACTATTAGTGTGATTATTTTATTAAATTGATTAAATTAGCCAGATGGCATATTGAACAGAACACTGTCACAAGTGACGACAGACTGAGGACTGATGAGTTGAGGCTTGAGACAGTTCAGACAGTGAGTGGACTTCAGTGGTGGAGTTGAGTGGTGACAGACATTACAAGGCAGAATTTAATTAGTAGTGAGTAGCCTACCAAATCCAATACATGAACGAACTGAAAGGGGTGAATTCGTATGACATCATTCATGGTTACTCTTATCGATTTATTCTTTGCAGATATGTGTTTATTTTTTCAAAGACTCAGAATCTGCAGATAGCGACTTGTGCTTGTAAAGTTTCTTCCCGGATTAAGCTAATTTTAGTAACTGATTCATACATTTTGTTCCGTTCAATTAAGAGTCACTGGAAACAGGTTTTATATTTTTTATATATTTCGCTCAAGGGAAGCTACTAATCAAATGTTTTTCTTGTCTTTTAATATTTAGGCCTACCTCTTCGCTTGTAGTGGTCGAAGAAAAATAAATTAAAAATAAAATCCTAAAATTGATCATTATGCATTGAAAGATTCACTACAGCTAATCAAATTGAACACATTTGCTTTTTTTAAGCATTTGAGCATCATCGGCTTTCGATGTTCATTAGTCGTATTAGCAAGTTTCCGGTACTAAATAACAATTTAAAGTTTCAATGTAAGCTGAAAATTTCAAAGTCGTGTAAAAATACGCTATCTTGGCGGAGTGGATCAGATCAACAAAAAATACAAAGAGGGAAGAAACCCTTGGCATCAGAAGTGTTAACATGTCACTTGCGTCAGCGTAATCTTCCTTACTGGACATCCTTCTGTGTCTATTATCACGACGTTATCAACGATCAGTTTGGGGTATCATATTTTAATTGGAAGGTAAAAAGTTAATTCCTTCATTGAATTTAAATTATTAAATAGAATGTGACCATTCGGACCCGGGATTCAGACCCCGAAAAGATTGAGAGGTTGGGTTTATTAAAAAAATATTTCAAATATTATTGTTGGGTTTGTAAGACAAAATTTGGTATCAAATAAAAGATAAGTGGGTTAAAAATGGGGACGCCTGCCACTTTTTTATTGAATTTCACGAATGTATCCCTAAATCGATCCCTCAACCTAACCTAAACCCTAATTCACTGCAACTATAATAAACACACAAAAGACGCCATGGCAGCCGTCCTCGGATTTAGCCAATAATTGAATGGATTAGGCCTATAATAGTTTGTTGACTTCTTCAGTTTAACTTAAATTTAAATAAACCACCACAAATGACATCTGAATTTTAGACTAAAGGGACTCGGGTCCGAACAGCGGCAAATTGATACCAAACTTTGTCTTAGTGTTTGTGTTGTCGGAAATATTTTATAACTACTGTCTTTCATCACTGATATTCAGTGATATTGTAATAATAGTATGTACTGCCATTAAAGATTACAATTTCCTTTCTTAACATATTCATAAATATAAAATGCATGGCTATTTTAACTATTTAGATATTATTTTTGAAGTAATTTTTCTTTTTTGTCACCACTATATGGGTTCTTCATACACATGCAAATTACTCAGTCCAAAATCCAGACCCATAGAAAGATAGAGATCAAATAATTGTTTTTAGTGCAGCCATGTGTAAACAATTTCTTTTTTAAGAGCTGCTGGGGATAATTGCCCATATTCCATTTCATTTTGATTCTTGCAATAAATGTTAAGTGTGAATTATATCTTTCATTAATAATTTCAGGTTGATGGCAAAAATTATCAAATCCTGAGAACAGGTTGCTTTCCTTTCATCAAATATCATTGTTCAAGTAGGGCTTACTCCGATCTTGAGGTGGAGAATGCTTTTTACACATTTCTCAAATGCTTGAATCTCGGTATTATAATTTTTAATTTTGTTGCTATAAAAAATGTAATGGCTATATAATATATAAATATTGAGTTGTCTAAATTGTGCAGTGTAGTGTTTTATTGCTTATATATTTCATTCTTCCATTTGTAGGTATTCCAACACTTGCTTATGGCATAGTCTCCTGGTTCATGGTAAAGTATTCAGAGGATGTTGTGATGATTGATGGAACCACTGTAAAAGTCTACTTTCTTAACAAGGAAACGCCAGATGCAATGTACTGATTTTGAAAGGTTCAAATATTCTGAGCAGGAAGGTTTTGTTCATTTAAAAAATTTTATCATTAAACATTAATTGTTCCGTTGTGCTATTTATTCTTGAACTGTTTAGAAATGGCTCCCCAAACTTATGAGCTTAGTTTTGCATTAAGTGTTACAGTTATATTTATATGCATTGTTTTGTTTATTCTTGCCATCAATCTTTTTGTAACTATTCTGAGATTTCTGTTCAAGAAGATTGCCAGCCTATTTTCAAAAGATAATTCAAGTGGTAAGGGTGATTCAATAGAACCAGAAGTAGAGGCAAAGAGTTCTTTAGATCAAGAAAAAAGTGTACAAAATAAAATACAACCTGTTGATAAAAGTGATGCCCCTGAACCCAAACAAGGCAACAAAAATGTCTCTAAAAGAAAAGGAACTGCTAAGACAAAATCCTAACTTCAATTTTTTATTCAATATCCTTTCCATAATGCAAGTTAATATTAATATATATTTTTAATTTTTAGATAAAATATGTGCACCTAAAAATAATTTTACTCAACAATTATTGAAAATAAAACTAGCATTTTGACTTGATTGCTGTTATTTAAATACATGAAACAAAGGTTGTTGCTAAAAAGGAAACTTAGGTCTTTGAAATAAATATTATAAATTTGAAGTTATCAAACATAAACCTTAATTTAAACTATTTCGGTGCATAATATTAATATACCGTGTACTAGCTATAGCCCACAAAATAATGGTGTCAGCAATGCGTGAACTTCCCATCTACTAAAGTTACTTGACAAATCATGCATTCAAGTAACGCACTTTCTAAGATTCCCAATTAGTGCCTCCCCCCACCACCCCTGAACTGTATTGATAGTTTAATTTCCTACTGCCCTTTTTACCGCATATTCATAACACCATATTTAAATTGAGAATATTTGCATTAATAGAAATATATTAAGCACCAAACGCACATGCTTCATTTTTAAAATCTCATCTATTGCAGTTATCTGGAATTTTATTTAGTGAATGCGTCAGTGACATTAGTTGATTGTTAAATTGTTACATAAAGAATTATGTATTTTCATATTAATGAATTATTCATACTATAAACACCTTTTATTATTAATATTATACATTTAATTCTTTGTCAGGAAACTGAGCTTTTCATTCACTGAAGTAATGTAATAGTTTATGGATGTCTCAGCAACATTTATTTTGTTTTTGTTTACATTTTTGGGATTTTAAAAAAAAGAAAATCTGATGATGAAAAAACTTTAAAAAATGAAGGCATTTTTTTAAAAATCATGTACCTTTGAATTAAAAATTTGTGAAATTTACACATACAGTGTAAATTCTTTGAAATTTAATAAATTAGTTCTGTTCATGAGAGGTAAAGAGTGCTTTATAGTATGTTACTATTTACAGTGCCCTATATGTCAAGCAATGAAACATACATTTTTTCGGTATTTACATTGGGGACCAGCTACCTTGCCACAAAGACTCTTATAAATTTGCAGGACAAACTATAGATAGCCCTACATTTTTGTTTCTTTTTTACAATTTCATTTTTAACCCTGCTATCTAAGGCCATTTTATGGGAAAACACCATTTTAGTTGTCTGTTTATACTATTATTTGATTTTTTAAAATTTTGTTAGGGACAGGTAACTTTATATATATTTTAAGAGCAATGTCAATCTAGATCATTATTGGGGCTGCATCTTCCAAATGTCAGTGTCAAGATTAGTTTCACAGCCAGAATGAATTTTTGATGTCTTTGAAGTTTTAAGTTTCTAAATGATTATTCATATAAATTTTTAGTCCGTCTTAATATTTTTTCAATATTTTTTTAGAAGGATTATTGAACACATGTTTTATAGTGTCATTTTTAATGTCTTGCCTACACTTGTGTGTGACGTTAGTCAACAGGATAATGCTTCACTTGTGTGTGACATAGTCAACAGGATGACGGTTGTAGAACTATTTATTACTGGGCATACAGATGCTGTAAATAACTGGCCCACTTTGTGAGTTGAGACTGGAAAAGGGTGGGAAGAT